TTTTTTTTTTTTAAATTTAGTAACGGATTCTTTTCAGGCCTTTTTTCGCTTTAAAAGTGACCAGAAATCTGGACAAACCGGTGTTAATGCAACAAAATCCGTCTATAACAGCAGTTACAGCTTCTACTGTCCATCCACTGGTAATCATTTATCAGTCAGTTATTTGTACTTTCTTAGGCAATAGATTTTTTTCTTTTTCTTTCCCCTTTCTCTTCCAATTTAAAAACAATGAGCTGTCAACCGAGAAAGTTGCATGACAAAATTTTCAAATTATTAAATTTTTTTTTTTTTTCTGCTCTTCTTATCTTCATTTTCGTCTTTTTACTACTAAATTTTCCTTTTACAGCGCTATTAAACCTTTGAATAGCAGTCGTTAAATTGTGTAACAGTTTTTAATGAGCAGAAAAAAAGAAAGAAAAATGAATGAAATTACTGAAGATTTTTTCGCTAAACTTTAAAAAAAAAAAAAAAAACTTAAGAAAGAGAAGTAGTAATCAAATGATGCAATGGTTCAGCTTACCAAACCCCAAATAACACAGATATCTAACGGATGGATATATGTTCACTATACATATATCGCGGTAAAAAAAATTGAACAACTCTTTTAATTATCTTTTTTTTTTTTGATACAATATAAAAGTTAAAAAAAATAAAAAAAAAACAAATGAAGAAGTAATACTTCTGAAAATTTTTGCAATAAGGAATTATTTCAAGAGATTTTTTTCCCCCAACTGTAAACTGTGCCTGCATTAAGCAACTCTGTAAACGGATGTGTACGGAACAAACCATAATGGTTAAAGTTTGATGAATATCGGAAAAATTTTTTTGGATACTATTACAAGTGCAGTTCTGTTGTCATCTCTGTTCACTCTTTTCTTTTTTGTTGCTTTCAATCAGTCACCCACCTCCATCTGATTACTTATTTTTGCTGCTGTTTTTGTTGAACACTGTTTGTTGGTGATGATGGATGATGAATTTGAAATTGGAGCCGCCGAGTACTCGACAGAATTGATGATTGTGTCATTGGTGCTCTGTGTCCACCAGCCCGGTTACTCCTTCGACAGCAGTTTTACAACAGACCGTGTCTTATTATTGCAGCACCGACAGCAGCATTAGCAATGGCAACGGCAACGACAGTGAAAGCGACAGCAGCAGCAATAATAACAAGGATTATTTCGTCATGTAAATAAGTTTAAATTTTGTTTCCAACATATAACGAACAAGTTTTTTTAAGTGAAAAAAAAAAACAAAAAACTTTTTTTTTTGTTTGTATCAAAATGCCGTACTCCTTAGTTGTTTTGGTCATTTTCCGTTTTTGTTTTCCTTCTTTTTTTCTTCTCCCCTTCCCCTTCCCCCCCACTTCACTGTTAACCGTATTTATTTTTTTCCTTTACTCTACTTTCTTAATGTGTTTTTTTTTTTCTGCTTTTCAATCATTCAGCATATCGGCAAAAACCGTCAATTGCGCAAATGCCAGTTGATTAATATATACACACGGACGCACAAAAGAAGTAGATAAAATAATCAAAAAAAAATTGAAGTGTGAAAAAAAAAGACGGCAGATTGTGTTGAAAAATGAGCATCCAAAAAACTGCAAAAACTTTTCAGATATAGTTAGTTATCCGATAAAGTATACCGTTATCCCTCCCTTCTCTCCTCTACCACTAATCTAATCCACAAAAAGAAATAATAACCTATTCCGTAAAATACAAAGAAAAAATAGATTAAAAAAGGAGTGAAGGAAAGAAATGGACACCAAATGAACTCTTTTTTTCATCTTTCTTTCAAAAATTTATTGTTCACTAATTTTGTTTCATTCTTTTCTTTTTCTTAGTATAATGTTGATATTTTCCTTTATTTTTAATAAAACGCTAATTCTTTCTTACTGTCTTGTAAATTTCAAAAAGAAAAAAGAGAAATAAAAACAAAGACAACGAAAAACAAATAAATTGTGAAAAATTTTTCCGCTTTGTTTTTTTTTTCTCGGCTTAACAAACGCATATGTGATTAGTTCAATATTCTTTCAAACTAAGGATTTCTGGCTTTAATGATAGGTCTTTCAAGAAAAAAAAATGAAATAGCCAATCAATACGAATATGTAAAAAAAAACGTGTAAGATAATCTGAATAAAATTTCACAAATTGTCACCTTCCCAATGGCAGAAACCAACTGGAAAAAAAAAAGGCAGCAACTCCTCCAACATCAAAATTACCACTAATTTTCATTAAAATACTCAAAGGTATCCTTTTATCCAGAAAGATCTCGAAAAACGCTCTCAGCTCCTTTTCTACCCCCTCTCCTTTCATTCATGAATACTTTAGAGCAAAAGAAAAAAAAACTCAAAAATTTTTCACTTCATTTATTCATATCAATATGTATACAGTACTGTAACTACTCATCTATATTTGGAACCGGAAACCGGTCATATTTTTTGCACTCGTAATGGAATATCCAAATACAATACTTTTGTCCAAACTTCCTAATAGAACTTTTGCTTATGAACATTGAGCCCGAACTATCGACAGTCGAAAAAAACCTTCAATAAATTCAATTGTTTCTTCCCTCTGCAGCAGAAAAACCATCTATACAGCTATCCCGGCTTGCACACCGAACTTCTTCTATCCACCACTTTCAGCCCTGCGCCAAAAAAACCTATTTTTCACCGCCACCTTGTTGAAAAAAGAACTGCACATGACAGCACCCTCATCATGATAGAACTGTTCCCAAAATACCAGAAAGACAGCAACTACTCATACCTTCCCATACCGCACTCCTTATATGGAACAACAACTTGTCGTTGACACTAACACATCCCACAATCCTACTGCATATTTCAAGGCCTTCCATTTAGAAACTTCAGCCATTCAACAAATCACCCATCCTTCTACCCATCCATTCACTACGTCCTTCTCAGAGACAAATTACTTCTTGAACGATCGCCCAATTTACCCATAGCCACAAATAGAAAAAAAAAAATACGGGAAAAATTCCACCAACCTCTTCGTCCAAAAAGCCAATCAGCATCCATATAAGATATACACATCGTATGTATATCTAATCAGTACTGACAACAGCCAACTTTTACAACATAAACTTCTTTATTCATATTCCCCCCTCTTCCTTATACATTTTTATTGTCAACAAATATCTTAATCAAATTTCCATCCAATTATGTATTACTTAATTAGGAAGAAGGTCATTGCTGTCTTTTATGACTTTTGTACGCCATCACAGACATCCTCCGCAACTCTTAATCCCTCAATAAATACAGCAATTACTCGAACCCTTCTTGAATTAATGACGATCATATATTTTGATTAGAGGACAGAAGTGAGCAAGCCCTCCTATTTCTATTCCCCTCACAATACTCATGTACAAATAAAAGATTTTTACAAACATTTGTTTAGCCAACTAAATAATACACTTCTTAGTTCCTCCAGTAAGTTCCTACTTACCACAACACCATATAGATCATAACAACTAAATACAGGAATGTTCGAGCTCTTGGTAACATTGCACCTTATCAAGTTATTAAATTTAGGAACTTTTTCTTGAGCGCAGATTTTGCATCCCTTGAAAATTTTTGCGACATTTCCGATAGCATCTGATAAGCATCAGATGTTGTGCGGAAATACTGCTCAGTTTCTAACAATTTTTTCCGGCTAAACAATGTTTTGATTCTGGCGAACTGATCGTATCCGGCAACATGTGAACATAATTCTGTGTTGTGGTGTGCTTTTTTCAGAGTACAGATAGTTTTGTAACGGCATTTACTATCGCATTTATAATCGTCTCGCCGAACACTGTTCCTAAAACAGTTATAAAACATGTAGATATTGTTTTTTCTTATTTTCGATCAAAACAACAACAACTGTAACCGTCTATTTTATTTCACTTTTTCACTTATTTATGTCTTTCATTCGATTTTCTCCTGCTATTACTAAAATATAATGAGATGCAAATCAGGTTCTTTACCTGTTGCAACGAGTCAATAAAATACTTTGAAAAGCAGAAAAAAATCACATCAAACTAGACCTCCCATTATGACTCAATAAACCTTTCTGTTATCTATTCAAATGGTATTTTATTGCAAAAAAATTTCTTTTGAAATATATAAACACTTTCTAAAAAGAACAGCAACACACAGTTCTGTAATCTGAAAAATCTAAACGCCAAAAAAATCTCCAGTATTTAAATTTTAAAAGTATTTTTTGCGACCTCATCCTCGCCAAACAATGACTTCAAACTGTAATTGCAGTTAAAACAGTTGGTCACTTTTTAATCGTTGTATCCCATCCTATCGCTCAAGTAACTAGCTACAAAAACAACAAAAACTGAAAAACATGCCACTCTTTTACTGTTAAGCTAACTATAGTATAATTCATAACAGGTACTTGCAAAACTCACTGAAGACAAAAAAACTAATGAATTTTTTGAAATCAAATCGAATAATGTAAACAAATGCTTCGAAAAACACAGAAATTTCACAGCGACGAGACCAACTATGCAGCCAAACTTATGCTACCCTATAAAGTTTGTTTCTGAAATTTGATCTTGACGTCGTTGTGGTTGTTCATTCAACAACAGCAATTAAAATTTTCAGTATCGGGCTTAGTCAATCCGCTTGACCAAGCTCTTTTCCACTTAGCTCACGATAACAATTTGTAAAGATGGCGAACAAAAACCTCTTCAAAGTGCTACAAAAAGTTGCTAGCCGCGAACCTTTTCATAAAACTCAGAAAATAAATTAACTTTCCTTATTTGACTTCTCCTACTTTCATGTACAGAAAACAAACCTTGCAGTTATAAAACAATTTCAAATATTAACATAGTTACAGAAATGAGATACCTTACAAATTTTGAAAATGTGCTTTTATCCACAGTGATTCTATCAACCAGTTCATTCATTGCTTTCGCCGTTATTTCTGGAAGATTATATGATTCCTGCAAGAGTTAGTTTCAAATTGTTCCTGAATATAATTAAGACGTCGAGCAATTATATTCCAAAAAGTAGTACAACAGACTTTCTTAAAACTCAACAAGTCATCCATAAAAAAGTATTTGTTTTTTGATAACCATAAAAACTTGTTAGCCTTAAAAAGTTTGGTACCAATCTCAAACCTTTGCACCATACAGGAACTCCCAATTGATTTCTTTTTCGCCATCAGCACGTGACAAGTTCAAGAAATACGTATAGTAATCAAGAATATCCTGCAGAGATTTTACAGCTCATACATGGTCAATCCGCTTGAACATACTTTAAAATACCAATAAAAGAAAGGTTTTAGAAATGTCCAAAAGTGAAAGAAATACAAATGGAACTGAAAACGTCTTCTGCAGGTTTCTGTGAGAAAAAGCCATACACTACTCCTTCAAAACGATTCCAACAACAAATAAATACTTCAGCTAGACTACAGATCTTGCACATCAAAAAAAAACCAGTAACACCAGTACGTAAACAATTAAAAAAACTCAGAAATTCTGAAAATCAAAACAAAACTAACATATCGATTTCCAGCTTCAAATTCATAAATTCTGTACGCGGGGTTCATTCCGGAATAAGTAGTGACACTTGGAGAAGTAAAGAGAAAGTTGGTAGGTTCAGACCCGTCATCATCCATGTCCTTGTAAAACATTGAAAAACTGTCGACATGAATGTGGCCAAAAAACTGTCCCACAATAGTTCTTGAAAACCTAAAACTACATCTCGTCCAAATGAATTGCTAAATCGCAACAAAAAGTCACTGTTGTTACTCTACATAGGTTCACAAACTACCTGCAACAGACTCAAAAATGACTGAGTGTAGATTATTCTTCTTGTTACATTTGATGTTTTTTCACCTCATATCTTAGTCACATATGAGTAAACGTAAGTGAACTTATATAGCAAGACAGCTTAAAAGTCAGCCATACTCAGCAAGTCTCATCTACGGTAGAAAATACTTTAAAACGCCAATATTAAATTATCTGACCTGTTAACCACCCTATAGTAATTCTTTGCCCAACCTTCTAGACATTCCTCATTACCGGGCGGTATATGAGCCAAGATGTGCACGTATTGTCCAGCGGCCTCTGCAGACGCAAGTTCATTCACTAACCAGGTCATCGTACCATCTGGATCACTTTCGTTGACATATATCCAGCTACAAGCAGTCAACTTTTTCCGCAAATAGAATTAAAGTTAGCTGCTTTTAGATGCCAAAACTTAGAGCTAGGTACGTAGCGATATATATCTTCAGGTGACCAATGACAGTAATACTGGAAAAGAAGAGCTTACAAATTAGTTGTTTCACAATAACCAGTATTCAGCGATATCAGCCGCAAACCATCCAAAATTTGGGTTCTGAATGAGCCACGGCTACAAAATTGTTGATCAGTACAGTAACTACAACTGACTGAGAAATACTTGCTAATTAAAAATTTTGTAAATCAACTCCAAAACTATTGCCAACGCCATCAAACTTTGAAAGACCTGAACAGCGATTTCACTGGGAGATGTTAGGAGCTAAGAGCATATCAATTGGCATAAAAAAATAAAAAGCTTACTATTCAACAACAGCTTTTTGACTATCATTTATCCACCGATGCTGCATATCCCATAACTGCTTGTACATCCACTTTGGTTGATATTTATCAGGCACATAATGTGGAGCAAAACTGAAAAGAACCTTTACTATTATAATAGACGTAATTACTACAACTATATTAACAAATACTCGCGCTCAGAGACTTAGTACCAATTGTTTTAACGCTGTGCTTCAAACAGAAGCATTAAAATCTTGCAAATAAAAAAAAATTTGGCAAGACCATCATTGCCCCATCCCAAGAGCAGTGTTATCTACCGACCTGTTCAAGGGAACCGAATCATGATTGCCAAGAGTCCAGTATTTCGGGGTATCCGGAAAGTACAAATCAAGCATTTTCTCAAAATTACGAATAATGCTTAAATGTTCTTCCTTTGTATATTCCCAGTCGGAATGCGCGACATAGTCTCCCGAAATAAGCATATAATCTAACTGCAACTTAGGGGAATATTATGTACTCTTGCTTTGTTATATACATAAACTATATGATAAACTGAAAAAAAACTGAAGGGAATCAAGAGATGATTTATGAAGAAAGACATTGCTTCTCCTTTTCTTCTCACCAACCCTTTCGGTCCCACTGATATGTTGCAGCATCTTTTCAATAGTGCGCAAAGGCATATCACACGGAGCTTGTGTCCCCCAATAACCAGCTGCCACTTTAGCACTGGCTAAAGTAATGTTCATTTAGAATGACCCTCAGAATAATTAAGCTTTTGCTGTTGGCTCGATTTGTTAAGGAAAGGAGTATCTATTTATCAGGGATATGCAATTACCATTCTTTGGCACAGAATCTGGCTGGCAGCAGATATAGAGTTTACAATTCGCCACTGAGCCAGTCTCATATTTGGTATCGATATGAATATCAGTCAGTTGAAGGACTCTGAGAGGCTTTGGTTTTGACACTGGATAGAAAGGGAACGTTCGATCTTCAATATGATAACTTCACTATCTTAATCTTTCTAAGTAGTCCAAAGATAGGAAAGAAACCATCGACGCAGAGAAAGAAAGAGACGGTTACGGAAGAACAAAAATTATACTTTCAGGTACTTTGGGAAGAGTAATATTCCAGTCACCGTAAGGATTGTAACGTTCACCGCAATTACGCACCAACACACCACAAAAGACGGGAGGATTAAACAGCAACTGTTGTAGAATATATAACAGTTCCTCCTGAACAGAAGTTTGCTTGGACTCATTAATTGTGTACAGAAACAAAAACGCCTATAACTTGTAAACTGAAGCTACATTGATAACCAAGTTACAGCTGTTTCTGTAATACACTAAAAAATGTATTAAATGATAATCCAAAAACTTGGTTAGTCACCAGCACAGTTTCCTTAGGTGTAACAAAATTCTAGACTTCGGTCTGCATTGGGCAATCAAACATACCCGGTACTGAGCGGCAAGCCCCCGGCACACCAGTGATTCAACCTTAACAAAATGCTCACAGACGTAAGATGCTACATTGATAACCAAATCTCGAGTGGCGTTTTTGGAGTAAATATATCTGAAAAAAAAATACATATCCGGGCAACCAACAAATGCAAAATTTCTTTATAATTAACAAAAAAAAAGTGCCACCTTTAATTCCATTTAAACGCTTAAAAATCGACGCAGCTTTCAAAGCGAAATAACAGTACGTACCTCTGATCATAAAAAATAATGTTCGATAAATGTTACAAAAACAATCTTTTCAGCTATTTCTTTCAGTCTTAACAAAAAAAAATGGTTTTTCTGATAAAATTACCTGAAAGCCTCGACAGCAGCTTCACAAGCCTCACATTCTAGATGATTTATAAATGATGACGAACTGCTACCTGCAAAATTTGTAGCTGTATCTGTAAAACACCAAATATCGACAAAGCATTCGCTATGAAATCTACCACTTTTTATGCTTCCTTTTGTCTTTAGCTAATTTAATGTTTCCACAATCTATTCTGATACCGGTAACTAAAACTGAATAAAACTAATCTAATTCTGAAGCCTAACAACAGCATCAAAAAAGAAAGCATCTCAGTACAGTGGTAAAAACTTCGCTTAACAACAACCACAACCTCTGTTTCATTTTGCAAATGAATATCAACGGTAAGCAATGACTGGAAAAGCGACTAAGGTTCGAAAAACTGCAAAAATATTGACCATTTGTCAAAATTTTGAAAAAAAAACACTTACCTGTAGTTACAAAAAAGCTAATCAATATGATAATTTTAAGCAGTTTCATTTTTTTCAGGAACCAGTAGAACAGCTTTGGGTTAAGCCTGACGACACATCTATAACTTCCAATTTGACGATAGTTTTCGCCAGTAAACTTTTACCTATAACTACTGCTGATATTCGACAAGATTCAGAAATATGTGGCAAAGAAAAGCTGCTAAAAAAACCAAATGCTTATCAGCCGCTGAAAAATTCGAGAACGAGTAAGTGCAAACGATCAAGTGACAAAAGTATCAAGTTTTTTTTTTTTCTTTCTCTTCATATCTTCAAATAACTTCACAAATGAAACATTAAAACCAACACTAATCTGCAAAAATACTTTAACACAAGATTATACATTATACACAAAGATCAAATTTTTAACAGACCAATATACCTTCTGAACAGCGCTGATTATTTGACCATAATATTCAGTTGAACTAATAGCGTTGCAGTCTGCAACAGTAACTGAATAACACGGCCAGATTACGGCAACAATTTAACAGCTTATCTGAACAGGGCGCAAAAAAAAATTGGCCTGGGTCAACAAGACTTATTCCTATCGCTTAAATGAGTCCCATTTTCTTAGCGCTTGCAATCCTTGAATAGGAAGCAGTTCATGTCGCCCTTCTATCCTACAACAGAAAAGCTGCAAAAGTTAGATTCGTCTGACGACGGTTTTTGTGTCTAATTCAAAGTTTTTTTCGCAAAGTTGATCAAGATATGCAAAGCTTTTCAGTTCAGCTTCCGATGCTTCATTGGGTATGCACAAAATGGATAGAATCTTCTTGCCATATCAACCATACGTATCAATTTGCCAACTGCTGATGCCCTTAATTATTCAAATATCCTGTTTTATTGACATAGATTAATCAATTTTCAGCTGTGAAGCACTGCAAACAAAATTTTTTTTCTTCCATAAACTTTGGAGCTGCTCTCATTTTTATATCACATTGGTCAAGGGTCAAAGCGCCAAAAGAGAAAGACCTTCCAACTGGAAAAAATCTACAAAAAGAAGCCGATTTTTTTAAAACTCAGTTCATAGTACAAAAAGAAATTGTGTTTGTATTAAGCAGTTTATATGTTGAAGATGTAACCTGTCAACTGAGGGACCGAACACGAAAATTATGGCACATAAAACGACGTATGACGTAAAAACCTATTACCGCTTATCACCTGTGCCGCAGCAGAGCATTTACGAAACCTTACAGATATTACAATCGTGTTTACTTGCAAGTCGGTGAAATAAAATGATCTTCATGATCAGTTTAATTGCTCCATGACCTCAAAAATGGAAGTGAACATAGGGGAGACGTAACTACAATAGAAAGAAAATTTACTAGGTAAATTAGTCACTGGAAAGGTAGATTTAGAATTTTGTTTAAATGTCTGTCTGCAGTCAAAACTATCACTGTTTATCCATCTAGAAAAATCATTGAACGTTCCCATGTTTCTTCCTCTTTTCTATGCCGAAGAACCTTGAAAAACATCCAACTCATTAACGATAACATTTTTTCGGCTCTTAACAGCGACACTTACGTATTTCAACCATAATTGTATCGTTAAATATATTAATAATAATGGTTCCAATGAAAAAAAAAAAGGGAACACGTTCAATCGATAGAAAGCCGACTTCAAGTAATTTTTGCCTGATAGGACGTTTGACAAAAGACATTCAAATAATTTTCAGAAAAGAAAAAAAGGAAAAAAACTCATTTAGCGAAAGTAATGGTTTATAATGAAAGATCAATAGTACAATAGATGTGAAAACGGAGATGTTTCATGAACTTCAAGTTTTACAGCAATCTTTTGATGATGGCAACTTTTGAGCATACAATAATTGCGACAGATTCTTTAATGTGTAATACAGATTCTGTTGAAGTAGAAGAACAAATGAAAGAAAAAATAAATGAAGAAGAGGCTATTGTTAATATCTGATGACACAAATCACTGTTTACACCTCTGTAAACTTTTTTGCGAGCAGAAATAAAACTTAAAAAACAACCTATTATGTCACTGTTGTACTATTGTGTTTAGGAAACGTATAAATCACTGAAAGTACAACGGAATACAGACGATACGTTAATGAAAAACATTATATTGACTATGAAAAAAAGTAAGAACATTGGAAGTTGAATAAAAAAACGCTATTTAGCAATCCAAATAAGAAAAAAATGTTATTCTTTCCAAATTTTCTGCAATCAACCAATGTGATTGCTCATCGCTACCTCTATGTGAATCAGAGATCATTTTTCTTCTCAAGCAATCAGCCTCCAACTGCACCAAATTCTCGACAACGATCAACTGTTCAAGCCCAAAGACTGATCGCTTCAATCTTCTGGTCTAGGCTAGGCGTTCGGCAGGCACTTAACAAAAAAACGGCCAAACAAGAAGAATTTTTTAGATGATATAGAAACAGAGCGAAAGGAGGAAAAAATAAAGAGGTGGATGGTATAACAAGTAAACTTACCATGCTAAACTTAAAAAATTTCTTTTAGGCAGTCTAAAATACAGCAATTTTTTTTAACCATTAGATTGAAACCGTAAAATAATAGATTCAAGTTACTTTTTTAGTCTATCATTTCTAAACCTCAACTGTTTTTTGCTCAAACAATATGACAACAATTTTTCTGTTTCAGTGAAGTACAAGGCATAGTTGTGGCGAGAAATCGCTTACATTGTAGCATAAAAATGCGAAAAATATATTGATCTAATGATTCAAATAGCATTTTTGACTATATTTTTTGCCTCCTATTTTCACTCGGCTTTGATAGACATGAAAAAAAGAATCAAAGATATTTCAGTTGTTTGTCGGTTTTTTTCTGGCTGTATTTCAACAGCTATACTCCAAAAATGAACAGTATATTAATTGGCTGGGAAATTATCAAAAAATTGTCTCTTATTTTGCTTAACTGCTTAATTTTAATTGATATAAACTGAAATACGATGGTCAACAAGTTGCATTTACTGTGGGCATTACTGCTGTAATTAAGCCATATATATACATATATTGAACAAATAGACCAACCTGTTCACCAAGCAATATGGGTTGATAAAAGAAGTGTTGATCGACTGAGGTATGTTGTTCCATATAGTTGGCGAACAACTGATCATCTAAAATGATCAGAATACAGCTGCAAAAATTGAACAGCACTGTTCAACAATAACTGTTTGACGTATCAGAATTTACAACAAAAAAAAGAAAAGTAGACAAAAAGAAGGAAAAACTTTATTCGTAGATTAGCTGCAAGCAATTTTAATCTACGATTAATGCGTATCACAACAGTAAATTACATACAAAAAAAGTCCATTAAAAAATATCATAATTAATTTATCGCTTCCAAAAAAAAACAAAAACTTTTTTCTTCTTCTCAGCTATTCACTTTACAGCATACTGAAATCAGGTTAGCCCATTTACGATATACATTATACGCAAATTTATTTCTATTACCTTAATAACAATTTATTCATCTCAGTTTTTTTTCTTTAATCTTTCTTCTTCTTGACCATTAATGACTTATTAAGCCATTGTTGAAAGACAAAAAATATTTTAACAAATATATTATACAAAATTTTATTCTCATTGAATTATTTGCCAAAACAAATAACATTTGATAAGGTAAAATATCATAGCTAAAAAATGTTATCTATGCTAAACAGCAGTATTTTTTAAATATAACAACAATTAAAATTAGACGTTAATTCAATGGAAAATAGGTATTATACAATCAAAAATGCTGCAAAACTAATACTTCTCTTCTTTTTTTCCAGACTAAACAACATTTGTAAACTTTTGTGTCTCGAAATTGACGGACCGCATTTACAGCCAAAATGGTAGACACGTCTGTACGTATCTACTCGACGCAGAAACTGTTCGTCTATTTTTTTTTTCTGCAAAAGAATCCCAGTGAAAAACAGAGATTTTAGTAGCAGCAGCAGCAGCAACGGAAAGAGTTTTCCTTAGAGGAACCGAGAGACAAACGATAAGTTAGCAGTAACTGAGGTAAGTGAAGTAAGAATTGTTGTATTTGGATTTTGTTAATGATTCTGCTGCTTTTTTTTTCTTGTATTTTTGTTTCTGTCGTATCCTACGTGTTTGTAGATCGATTTTATAGGTTAAGCTGTAGTTTGAACACAACAACTGAACATCGGTATCTAATCAAATTGTTAAAAGGAAATTTTTTTGCAAAAATAAAAGAAGAGAAGAAAAAGAAATAAATAAATTTGTCAGTTTGAAATAAAGGTAATTATTGATTGGCAGAGTGAACTTTATGCACACTTAGACCGATCTTTAGTTGTTTAGTACAATTTCTTTTAAGCCAGCAGTTGTTTGGAAGAGTAAACGCTGAAAGAAAATTCATCATCAAACTAGTTTTTTTTCTGATTTTTCAAATTATTTTTGTAAAATTTTGTTCTTACTGTTGTCGTCGTTGTCGTTGGAATAGTCGGCGAACATCAGACAACAACAATGACAATCAGTTGTTTTTTTTTTTTTCATTTTTCTTTCAAAAATTTACAAAAAAAATTCAAATAATTAAGCAACGGAAAATAATTTTGAAATTTTTGTTGTAATTTTGCATTGAATTTCCAAAAAAAAACCTTGAGGCATTTTTATTGAATGTTGCTTTCTCTTCTCTATTTTT